AAAATTGGGTGCACCATATAACATGTATAAGATGAAATAAATAGAATGTCAGCAAACTTTAATAATTAGAATGTCAGCAAAACTTATGCTTCATTTCTTAAGAAAAGTACCATGACAAAGATATTATCATTTTTCTGACAATTAGATATTAAGAATATGCTGTATACTACTATGCATTGAACATCTTTACATATTACAACTTACAACTAGAAAGGCCGATATTTGCTTAGGAGCAAATACAGCGATGGCTTCACCACATTTTACGACATGGTAGGGAAAGAATGAGAAACACAAGGGAAAACAATGATTTACATTGATATAACTATAATATGAAGTAACATACAACTAAAACAACAGTTGGATAGCTATTCCCTACTTTATTGGTTAGGATTTTTAATTGCATAATGCAAACTGTTGATTTTCAAAATAAAAAAAAACATTCATGCCCCGCATTCCAATGCTGGAGCAGAAAAGCTTGAAATACCTACCAAAACACTTGAATAAAGACATACTGTCAGTATGAAAATGCTCTGTGCAGGTGTTATTAACAATCACATAAACTATGAAGCCATACATTGAATAAGCTATACATATAATATGATTATCATAACCTTTATTTTTAAAATCATGCCAGTGAGCTAATTACATGTACAGAGTGAAAGAAAGTAAAGTAAAGTAAAGTAAAGCAGTAGAATTTCTGTACTAGCTATGATAGTACTTCATATGATTCGTCCTCATCGTCATCATTCAATGTGGTCTATCTCTTGCTACTAGTGACTGGTAATACCTCTGTAGATTCTTCACACTGGCAGAGTACCGTACTCCTTCTCTCTTGTCAGCTCAATACTTTTGTGACAACATCAAAGTGATTTTAGTTTGTATGTTGGAAAAATACAAAAGACTAACATTCTAAGTTATTGACATTCTTGAGTAAGAACAATCAGTTTTTGAATGTTAAAAGCAAAACAACGAAAAGAAAATAAAAATGTTGAAATTGTTAAAATGCAGAATTGTTAAAATTGTTAAAACTGATAAAATTGTTAAAAATGATAAAATTGTTAAAAATGTTAAATTGCTAAAAATATTAATGTCCGATGCACTGGGGTTCGAACTTGCAATGCCTGGGATTGCCGCCTTGCGCGTTTCCAACCGAGCTAACATGTTCGTGGAGGGCTAATTAATCTCTTGTGAAATACACACCGGGACGCTTATGTGAGGCGGGCGGGCCAGAGCTCTTGCGGCCCCGACCACGAATCAGACTGGATACCAGGCTATAACAGAACCTAGATAATACTAGTTGGTAAAGATTGCGGAAAATTGTTGATACCGTGGCGCGCGCGCCGACGATACACATTACGTACCGCGCAACTTTTTTGTTTACACGCCGGGCGCAGGTCATTGACCTCCAACTTGCGTTGTTCCAACAGAGAAGAGCAAAATGTCTGGCTCCCGCAGAACGTACCGCACTCTCCCGCTGGACGTACCGCACTCTCCCGCAGAACGTATCGCACTCTCCCGGAGGACGTCCCGCACTCTCCCGAGGGAAGTCCCCCACAGCGTCCGGCACTCTCCCGCAGAACGTCCCTCGAAAATCGATGCGTATTTCGTGGCCTGTGCTGTACCTACCAAAACACTTGAGTTCATACTGTCAAAATGGAATGGCTTTGAACAGGTGTTAATTGAGTTAATCCAATCACATCCAACAGCCAATCAGCAAGAAGAATAGATTGGTCTGGTTCATGCTTGCATGCCCATATATGGGCATACCGCCGAATTCCTTTCTTATTACGTCACGCGCGTACGTCCCCACAGTACTTTCCTATGGGGACCGCTAAAAAAGCAAATAAAACGATTGTAAAAGCTTGTATCACAAAAATTTAAAAAACGCCTAGGGGTATTTGCCCACTGTACCTCCATACCAAATTTCAGGACCTTAGGCCCTAAAATGAAGAAGCTGAATCCATTAAAAAAATGGCAGGAGAAGAAGAAGGAGAAGGAGAAGGAGAAGAAACATCAGAAAAAGCAATATGGGTTCACCACCACTTCGTGGTGTGGTGAACCCATAAAAATCACAATATGTGCAAATAGAATATTCTTATTCTGCAGTAGACTTGACACTGGACCAGCGTATTTTGCACATGATTTGTCAAACCGAAAGTATAGAAAAAAAACCGTAGCTTTAGGTATTAATCTCAAAGCAGATCCTAAGGTGGCAAAAGCCGTATCAAATTGGCCAGACAGTCTCCATTCGCTAGAGACCCTTTCACACAGAGACCCTTTCACACAGAAGAAAAATCATCAGTCGACAAAATTTCTCGACCTTCATATCAAGACATACGGCCGAAGCTCGGCAACTATAGCCATGTTCAGATGAAATCAGTGAAAGCGCATTGCATGTGGTTTTCATTGAAAGAGGATTCAAGTGGCCCCATCTGATTAGCTAGACCTTAAACAACTTAAAGGTGATGAGATAAATACTATATTCTGTGTGGAATTTTTCTGTATGTTCTTAAATAGGGGAGTGGTTATTTCTTTAGAATTTAATTTTGAAATTGGTGATTGTGAAAATGAAATTTTGTGTGTGTGGAAGTGCTATAACTGGACCTTAACACAATGTGGGGTCACAAGAAGAATTCATTCTTACTGAGGGGACGCATGTGTTTTTTTTTTCAAAATGTGGTGAAGCCATTTGCTGCATTTGCTCCCGAGACTTTCAGGTTCCTCATTATTTTTTCTACAGAATACAGATCGCTAACGGCTCCTGTGTTAAAAATGTTTTTTTTTTACCTAAATGACCCTTAATATCTGTCGTAAGTACTAGTAGTAGAGACGTCAACAAGTTTTGTGTTACAATTTTTCATTCTTTTTTGCTGATCCAACCAAGGTCCACGCTAACCTCAAAATCAAGCTGAAACTTTAAAGAATTAAACTAATTTTTTAAAGAACGAGCTTTGTCTACATGCAAAAATTTCCCCTCAAAATGCAGGAGACAGCGTTTCAGAGGGTCCGGATTTCAAAATTTCTCCGAAAACCCCATTCAGCAGTCGACAGGTGGCATGACGGAAAAAATTTTCAGGCGAGAGAGAGAGAGAAAGAGAGACAGAGAGAGAGAGAGAGATAAGACAGACAGGCAGTCAGAGGCAGAGAATAAAGCATGCTTCTTACAACAACAGGTATCCGACTTGTTGGGGGACGTTCCACCTCATTTCAAGGCAGAGTTGAGGTGTTCCATGCCGGCCAATGGGGGACCGTCTGTGACAACAGTTGGGGGCTGAGTGACGCCCATGTGGTCTGTCGTCAGCTGGGATATCCCGGTGCAAAAGCAGCTCTTGGATCAGCAGCTTTCGGGCGGGGGTCTGGGCCGATCTGGCTGGACAAAGTAACCTGCGATGGTTCTGAGGCAACCATTTCTGACTGTGGACACAACGGTTGGGGGACACATGACTGTGGACACGGAGACGATGCCGGAGTTGTTTGTGAACAACAAGGTATGTCCGAAAACAATTCAAACTCTACTACTTGAGATTACGGAAAAATTACGTTATGTTATGTTATGTTATGTAATGTTATGTTATGGTATGGTATGTTATGTTATGTTATGTTATGTTATGTCATGTTATGTTATAAAGACTTTTATTGTACATTCTTTCCCTGCTGGGCTAAATACAGGTCACACATTGACAGTCATTATTATGTACATGGAACCCTCCCCCCCCCCCCGCCAGGGACAATAGTGACTCCTATGATATTGTCTTAACAAAGGAAGTACTCTGAGAGAAACAACTATAGAGAGAGACAGACAGACAGGCAGAGGAAGAGGCAGAGAATAAAGCATACTTCTTACAACAACAGGTATCCGACTTGTTGGCGGAGGTTTCACCTCATCTCAAGGCAGAGTTGAGGTGTTCCATGCCGGCCAATGGGGGACGGTCTGTGACAACAGTTGGGGGCTGAGTGACGCCCATGTGGTCTGTCGTCAGCTGGGATATCCCGGTGCAAAAGCAGCTCTTGGATCAGCAGCTTTCGGGCGGGGGTCTGGGCCGATATGGCTGGACGAAGTAACCTGCGACGGTTTTGAGGCAACCATTTCTGACTGTGGACACAACGGTTGGGGGACACATGACTGTGGACACGGAGACGATGCCGGAGTTGTTTGTGAACGAGGTATGCCCGAAAACAATTCAAACTCTTCTACTTGAGATTACGGAAAAAATTACGTTATGTTATGTCATGTCATGTCATGTCATGTCATGTTATGTTATAAAGACTTTTATTATTTCACTCCATACTTCAGTATGGAGTGAAATACTGTTTTTACTGATGATTCTTCTCCTCCTCCTTCTCCTCCTCCTGCCACTTCTTTAAATTGATTCAACTCCTTCATTTTTGGGAGAAATTACATGGAATTTCGTATTGAGGTAGAGTGGGTAAATACCCCTAGGCGTTTTTTAAATTTTTTTTAAAGCTTTTACAATCGTTTTATTTGCTTTTTTAACGGTCCCCATAGGAAAGTACTGTGGGGGCGTACGCGCGTGACGTAATAAGAAAGGAATTCGGCGGCATGCCCATATATGGGCATGCAAGCATGAACCTGACGCAGACCAATCTATTCTTCTTGCTGATTGGCTGTTGGATTTGATTGGATTAACTCAATTAACACCTGTTCAAAGCCATTCCATTTTGACAATATGAACTCAAGTGTTTTGGTAGGTACAGCACAGGCCACGAAATACGCATCAATTTTCGAGGGACGTTCTGCGGGAGAGTGCAGGACGCTGTGCGGGACTTCCCTCGGGAGAGTGCGGGACGTTCCCGGGAGAGTGCGATACGTTCTGCGGGAGAGTGCGGTACGTCCAGCGGGAGAGTGCGGTACGTTCTGCGGGAGCCAGACATTTTGCTCTTCTCTGTTGGAACAACGCAAGTTGGAGGTCAATGACCTGTGCCCGGCGTGTAAACAAAAAAGTTACGCGGTACGTAATGTGTATCGTCGGCGCGCGCGCCACGGTATCAACAATTTTCCGCAATCTTTACCAACTAGTATTATCTAGGTTCTGTTATCGATCTCCGAAGAATCACCAAAATTGTAGAGTGGACAGGCGTTCGTTTGTTGTTGTTGAGAACATCGCGAGACGGTTTCCTGGCGAGCGTCGAGGGCCGCATGCCCCAACTGTTTTCGAAGATTGGACAGGGAGCGGCTGTAATATCAAAGGAGCCGGCGGCTTCTGCTAGCCGGGTTGATAGTTAAGTAATATCAAGGTGGTTCAAAAGCAAACCTGATAAAGAAGGAAACCCCTTAGTTAATATTTGAAAGTCTTGGTGCCTTGAAGCGATCGATACTGCCATGCTGTTTACTTTATATGACATACAATGCAGTGAGTGATGTGTATCGCACCGAGTTAGCTCGGTTGGTAACGCGCAAGGCGGCAATCCCAGAAATTGTGAGTTCGAACCCCACTGCATCGGATATTAACATTTTAACAATTTATCAGTTTAACAATTTATCAGTTTTAACAATTTTATCAGTTTTAACAATTTTAACAATTCTGCATTTTAACAATTTCAACATTTTTATTTTCTTTTCGTTGTTTTGCTTTTAACATTCAAAAACTGATTGTTCTTACTCAAGAATGTCAATAACTTAGAATGTTAGTCTTTTGTATTTTTCCAACATACAAACTAAAATCACTTTGATGTTGTCACAAAAGTATGGAGCTGACAAGAGAGAAGGAGTACGGCACTGTGCCAGTGTGAAGAATCTACAGAGGTATTACCAGTCACTAGTAGCAAGAGATAGACCACATTGAATGATGACGATGAGGACGAATCATATGGAGTACTATCATAGCTTAGTACAGAAATTCTACTGCTTTACTTTACTTTACTTCTTTCACTCTGTACATGCAATTAGCTCACTGGCATGATTTTAAAAATAAAGGTTATGATAATCATATTATATGTATAGCTTATTCAATGTATGGCTTCATAGTTTATGTGATTGTTAATAATTAAGGCCATGTTGATTTGATTGTATGGATGGCATCTGTGCGCGCATCGGTTTTCGTTAATTTAAAGCTAAGTTTACGACAATGATACAAAACATCTGGAAACTAAGCAAACATACTCTGTAAATTTATTACTGTAATTCCCAATTTTTTTTCACTGTACCGCAACGTAACGCAAGCGGGAGGTCTATGTTCACGGTTTCACTGTCACCTCTGTACCGTGAACTTATCATTACAGTTAGGAAATAATTCCTGGACTTTCTTTTTCCTGCAACTGTCACCACCGTGAATATATAGTTCCGCGAACATGACCATGTTTCTCAGACCGTGAAAATTTTGCTACCGTTAGTAGTAGTTGCAATTTCGTCATTAGTAGTATTCAGATACCTGCAATATATAACTTGAGATTGAGATAAGTGTAAAGTAAAGCTAGTCGGGATTTAAAGTGCTTGTCGTTGTATCTTTGTAAAAAAATAAGGGAGATAATGGCCAAGTGCCATTTTTGTAAATATCTGTCGAGATTCAAAAAAGCTTAGTCCTTGTAT